GCGCCGTGGAGGCCAAGGGCCGCGCCGAGGCGGAGCAGATGGCCAAGAAGGCCGCTGCCTTCCAGCTGTACGGCAGCGGCGCCATGGTGGACATGTTGCTGGAAAAATTGCCCCTGGTGAGACACGCACAAGTCCAGGGTGGACTTTAGCTCAAGAGGGCAAAACCCGACAGAAAATGGTAGACAGACGTACTCGGTTTTGCACCTGCTTCCACTAGATGGCGGAAGAGATCAGCAAGCCTCTGTGTGAAGCCAACAAAGTGACCATGGTGTCCAGCGGAGGCGAGGTTGGAGCCGCCAAACTGTCGGGCGAGGTTCTGGACATTATGACCCGCCTCCCCGACACGCTGGAGAAGCTCACCGGCATCAACATCGCCCAGGTCAAACACACACACACACACACACACACACACACACACACACACACACACACACACACACACACACACACACACAAAACCTCACACACACACACAGAAAACCTCCATTCCTTTTATGATTCGGAAAACAGGATGCTGTTCCAAATTGAGAAAAAAATGCATACCAATTCCCATCATTGTGCCTTTTCCGTATGTTACTTTCTTCTGGCTTCTGATTGGCTGAATAGGATTTTGAAAACTCCCGCTATTTTCCGAAAGCGCCCGTTAACCCCGCCTCCCTCTCTCTGTCATCACTCCCCATTTCAGGTCAGCTCCCGCAGTGGCTGAGGAAGAGCGGCCGGTATCTTGGTCAGCTGCATTGACCACCACCACCACCACCACCACCACCACCACCATCATCATTTTTTTGTTGCTACGCGTATGGCTCACTAACAGTATTAACAAATTTTGCATTATGTTGGCTGTGGTGGGCACTGCATTTTGTTGCAAATATAGAAATCATCAATACTATATATATTAAAAAATATACATATATATAATATACACACCGCATGATACGGTGTCACGTACGTCATCTGGAGCTGTTCACAATATTTATCTAAGAACATGACAAAGAGCATTGAAACGATAACTTGAAGGACACTGTAGGTTCGGAATGAGTAAAGCATTAGACTGACGCTCTGACAGACAATTTGCTGAAAGCAACAAGCGATCTGAATGTGATGAGACATGACGGGGGGAATGGAATAGAAATGAAAACTGATGAAGATATCAAAATTCAGGTCATAGAGGTTGTTACTACGAAGCTCTCAAATGGCAAGTGCTACTCCCCTTACTGACTTTATGTCCACTCATCCAGCGATGGAAGGTTGCAATTTCGAAACACAAACTATTTATGTGTTTATGTATTCATTCATTTCTTCTTTTTTTCTGTCACCAAATGTCAATAGTTAATTACTCGTAGAGAGAAGAAGTCACGGTAGTTAGCTCGTGTAGCATTGCTCAGGTGTGCACTGAAGTGAGGCAATGCGCACCTACTTTTGTGGAATGTTTATGGATGCATCACTCTTGCATTTGGTCATATTTGTGTGCTTGGCCTCACTCGGTTAGTGTCAACTATTCAAAATGGCTTGTCGTACAAGTTTACGTATAACACACAATTGGTTCAATATTTACTATCTCCAGAAAAGATCTTGCTGTGTGAAAATGGGTCGTATATGTATGTACCCAACTAACTCTTACTAATATGCTTTTTTTTTTTTTTTAATAAATTTGCTTTTCAAAGGTGGTTAATTGCCTACTTGTTTATGCATCAGCACACAAGTGAGACTCATACAGATTCATTAAACAGAAAAGTACTTTTTTAGAAGACCAATTTATTAAAATAATTTTTGATTGTTTATTTAGTATTTTAGTTTTAGGTTTCCATTAACAGTGAGCTATTATCATTAAAATGGTGAAAAACATACATTTGTATTTTATACATCTATAAAATAACTTAGTTGACACCTCTAAAAAAGTTGATTGTCAATAGGTTGCCACAAGATGACGACAAAGTACGACAAGAAGGCTCTCAACTCAATTTCGGTTTTGAACAACAGCTAATGTTCTGAATTGAATCGGGTTTTGTGAATGATTCCAATTTAACATTGTTGCTTATAAACAGCTCTGACTAAATGTATGTAGATGCAATCAGCTAGTAACATTCACAAGATGCGTGCACGTGTGCGGATAGCCACCTTGGTTTTCGACTCCTCCAATCGCGAGGCCAGCTGGTCCAACATGCTGACCGAACTCTGCGTCCTCTGAGCTCAAATAAAACTGAAATGTCGAGTGTCTCCAGTCCAGCGCTTTCAAACGCGAGAGTTCATCTCGGTCTGATCGTTTTATCACCTAATTAGCAAAAATGTGAACTTGAAATACTCAGCTTTCTGTTCTTTTCAAATTTACACAGGGTTAAATACTGTAATGGTGTGCCCCCACACCCCAGTGGCCGAAAGTGGAATTACACTGAAAACATTCAAACTCCCACTGGTGAAAAGGAGCAGGAGAGAGAAGCGGCAGTAAAACAGGCCAAAATGTAGTAACACAAAATACAGGATTGTGGCAAGGCGGGACTCGTGCATGGAACCAGTTCGAATGGAAAAACTTCTAAACACCGTGACATTTCCTCCTCCTTGGCCGATTAGTTCTTCCACTACCTACTGTTAAGGTGCTACAAAGTGTATGTATAAGGTATGATACATGTGGTACAGATTTTTTACTTCTATATCTTGTCAGTTAAAAAAATACCTCACTCAATTTATATGCCCCACTTTATGTATTCCCCAGGCCCATCCCTATTTAATAAAGGAGTAGAAATTGGGTTCGAAGATAGAAAGTCAAAGTAAACAAACGACAGAAAAATAAGTGGAATTTCGTGTCCTGAACACTAGGGGGGGGGGCGCCATTTCACCTTTGAGTTCGTTGCAACACGTTATTGTAGCAGACGAGGAAGAAGACATACTAGACAGCTGGGCTCGGCGGGGTAGGAGTAAACAGTCAAGGTAAACCCAATTTATCCTTTTTTATATCAACCCACACATTAAATGATCATTCTATTTTGCTTTTGAGATGCGTCAAGGAATGTTTTTTTTTCATGTGCTTAACACAATCGAACCCACCAAGCTGCTGAAAATCCACTGGGGCTAATGTCAGCTGAGCTAGTTGCGTCTACAGCCTACATTGAAGTCCCGAACCGAGCCGATTGTGTAGTTATTACGATGCATTAACCAGTTTCGGCCCGTACTGAAGTACATTTTAGTACACAGTCAATGACAATTTTATAATGTTATGAAATGTCGGACTGTTACAGCATGCTATCATTCGTGGTGCGTAAATGAGCTCCTCATTGTAATGTCTTTTTTTTTTTCTTCCCCGCATAGCCAGAGATGAACTTCACGTAACGTTTGGTGTTTCCTGAATGCTTAAGAATGATGGCTCAAGGTGTAATGGACGGTCCGGTTACACTTGTCATCAGAGCGCCGAACCAGAAATATGACGACCAGACTATTAATTGCTGCCAGAACTGGACTGTGGAGAAACTCAAAGCCCATTTGTCAGATGTGTATCCGAGCAAACCGGTGAGTATTCCACAACACATCAATCCTCGTCACAAGCTGTTATATACCTGAAGTAGGGACGTGACCCCCCCCCCCTAAAAAAAAAAAAAAAAAAAAAAACTGCAAAAACACTGTGTGAAAAGAGTTTTGAAAAAAAAAAACAATACAATACGAGCATTGATGGACATGTGGAAGCCAGGTCATGAGTTCAGGCAGCGTGTCTGTTCTATTTTGGTACAGTTTAAAACCTCAAGACGAGTAAAGTGATTAGATTGTTAGTGGTATGGTTGAGCTTTGAGAACATTCCCTTTCCATTAAGTTTTACATAGCAACATTATATATATTGGTGGTAGTAGTGGGCATCAAAGAATTTTGCAAAGGGGCCACATGAGAAACTGAAACGCTTGTCCAGGGCCAAGTTAACACGCTGACCTCAACTTTGTGCTTATTAGTATTTCGAAACATTGTCTTGTTTCAATCAATTGCTATGTGTTAGAATTTTCCTTTTTAAATTTACAAACAGTTCACTTCACCTCACTTTTTTTTTTTTTTTTTTTTTAAAAAGAGCTCCAAAGATCAGAGACTGGTGTATTCCGGCAAGCTGCTTTTGGACCACTTTACTTTAAAAGATGTACTCAGAAAGGTAAGTATTCACTTTCCTGCTCTTCTTATATCCCGCCGCAATCTTTTACGGCGGCGCCTTTTGTGTTGTCTTCGAACTGCTCTCTTTCAGAAGTAGAACGACACATTTGTGTTTTTCGAAGCACTAACTATTTGTAACGGCATTTTACAGCAAGATGAGTACCATATGCTCCATCTGGTCTGCCCCTCGCCAACTCCTCCCAGCTCCCCAAGCGTCACCCGCAAGCCTCGGGAGAGCACGGCCGAACCCGCGGTGAGTTCACCGATTGACGTTGCTCCTCTCTCCTCTTTCCCACAATTTCATCAGTCGCGACACTTTGTTTCATCATTCGCCTTCATGCTGCAAGTGGTCCCAGGAGACGATGGAGGATGTCGACTCAAAAGCCCCGTTGAACCATAATTGGATGCTCTTGTTGACAGGTCACTCAACCTGCTTCCTTCCCTAGTCAACACAGCCAATCGGAGAGCAATGACGGCCGTGTAGCCTTCTCTTACGACCAGTTGCATCAACAATTCACAAACAGGTAATTTGTGATTTAAAATTTGTATATATGGATGTAAAAACAACAATTATTTGCAATGTCGAATCATATTTAAACATGACTACTCGTTCTTACATGTTTAAAGTGTAGTTGGGGGGAAAAAAAAAGATTCAGTACAGTATAGCAGTACAGAATATTCAGTCCGGGTTAGTTACTGGTGTAAAAAAAATCATCGGCAGCAATGAGAACTTTAAACGGCGTTCACAAAGTTGGTAATGTGACGGTCTCTTTTTCTAGTTGGAGTCATTTCTCTGCAATGTCGACCCCTCCCACAAACGCGACCCCCTATTACAACCCTCTGACGCTCATGTGGTGGCAGCAGCTGTATGCTCGGCAGTACTACATGCACTAGTAAGCCTCTTCACTTGACGACTCGACCATTCCCGGGCGGTAGTATCATCATTTGAAATCTCAACTTCTCTCTTCACTTCCCTCAACAGTCATTTACTCGCAGCCTCCTCCCAAAACCTAAGCCACGACCTGCCCAGGACTCACGGCCTCCCCCAGGCGGACCCCCTTAGCCAGCGTCCGCGAGCGGATCGCCGCGGCAACCCCGAAGTGGAGATGAACGCCCAAGGAGGGGAGATACTGAACGAGGAGGATCTCAACCGGGATTGGCTGGACTGGGTTTACACGTTTTCCCGGGCCGCCGTCTTACTCAGTATCGTGTACTTCTACTCGTCCTTCAGTCGCTTTCTCATGGTGATGACGGCCATGCTGGTGCTTTACCTGTGAGTGAAGTTTTTTTTTTTTCGAGGTCCCTTTCCCATGTGTGTTTTTTTTTTTTTTTAATGAGCACAAGCAATACATTAACCTGTATTACAACATCAAATTTATTATACATAAATGTTTTGGTCTTATAGATCAGTAATGCAAACAAATCTGGTTTTAGCACCTCATCTGATGGTTCATGAAACAGTATGTCAACATGGACATCACTCAACTTATCGAGGGACTATTTTTTTGGGGGGGGGGGGCAAAGCAGTTTGTGATGGCTATCTATTACAAGATGTTTTTTTTTTTTTTTTGTTTACATGTGTAATGTCAATTTTCTTTTCCAGTCACCAGGCCGGCTGGTTTCCCTTCAACCTAGAGAACGAACTCCAGCTTCCTGGAGAAAACCAGGAAGAGATGGAGGCAGAGCTACACAACAATGATCTTCATGGAATGGTATTTGCGCGTGTATGTGTGTCCGCTTCCATCGGTATTGTTTGAGAGCCATTTCTAAAATATTCCAAAAAAAAAGATTCGTTCCAATTTGACAACATTCCGGCAATAATAACAAAAGAACCATCGATGCGTTTTCTCGACCGCTTATGCTCGCTAGGCCCAGATTCAAATGCACAACCTCTGAACTGTGAGGCGGAAGCGCCTCAGAAATAAACACTGAAATGAATACTCATGAAAAGTGAACGTGAGTATTTCAGTCAAGGCAGAATTACGAGTGGTTGTGCATTTGACCCATTTTTTACCTTGAGCGCAGCCTCTCTTCTTGGCGTAGTATCGGGACTTACAGATCTGCTTTATTTCTCTTAAGCCTATTTTGGACCAAATCATTTCAAGACACCAGTCCTAAGAGGATGTTATCTTTGTGATACGGCTATATTCCGCCATCATGGCTTGATCGTGAAGGAGTGACATCAATAAAAAGGCATGCTGTAGTGATATAACTCATCACGGGGGAAAAAAAATATGCATGACGTACAAAACGCTTCGGTGGCAGAATGAAATCATTGAAACGGTATTATTTTGCATCAATCCTACTCAGCTGCAATCGTCCTTTTGCAGGAACATGTGGCAGATGACAGCTCCGATGATGACGAAAGCGGAGAGGAAGGAGCGGAGGACCCGAACCGTGTCATCCCGCAAACGGGCATCCTGTCCTCCATGTGGTCGTTCGTCATCACCTTTTTCATGTCTCTCATTCCCGAGGGACCGCAGAACGCTGCCAACTGAGCTGAACGTCTCGATCGGAGTCGAGTTTTTTTTTTTCACCACCACCG